ATTTTTAATTATTAATATTATCACCATGGTAATTATCAAGGTTGAGTACTGTTGGAGCTTTTGTTGGTGTTTATTACCTATATAACTCATATTTGTGTGCTGATAGCCTGTAAACTGGGAAGAGAGTTACAAACATATGTAAGACATGATGCGTCATATGGCCTCATAGATTTATTTCATATGTAAAAACTGCTGTAACTAGTGCCACATTCTCCAGTAGAAATATAATGTGAGCCACATGTATAATTTTGAATTTTCTAATAGCCTCATAAAAAAAGAAAAGGAAACAGATGATATTAATTTTGATAATGTTTTATTTAATATCCAAAATATTATTTCAACATACACTATGAAAATTAGTAAAGTGTTGTACCTCCTTTTTTTTAAGACTAAGTTTTTGAAATTTAGTGTATATTTATAGCACATCTCAATTTGGACTAGCCACATTTAAAGGTTTAGTAGCCACTTGTTGCTGGTGGCTCCTGTATTGGACAGTACAAATAGTATATTAGCTAAAGAACAATATTTTCTTCTAAGCTAGCAGCAGATTAAGAATGTCTATAAACAACAGGAATCATTTTCTCAAGTTAAGTGTGGCATGTCCTACCTTAATTTCAAGTTACATTTAATTTTAGTAAGTCAGCTAATTTCCAGATGCTTCCGATTCTTCAAACCTGAGGAATATAGGGATCAGAGAAATTAGGCATCGTAGATGGCATACATAGATTTCTTCAGCATTACAGACTCAGAATGGTTTTACTGTCTCATAGTTTATCATGAAGGTTGGTGAATGTGGACCTTTTAAAGGAGAAAATACACTTTAGTATGTGAAGCATATATTCCAAGCCTCAGGCTATATGTGGTATAATCACTCTTACATTTTAGCCACCAAGAAGCACCTTCCAGGGGTTTTAGCACATCCCCTTACTTCATCAGATGTGATCCTGAGAGCACAAGTATGTGAAGTCTGTTGCATTTTATATTTTCTAAAGTCTAATATGACATTTTATTGGCTCACTCATTTTCAAGGGAGCTAATGATAACTGTCACTTCTTCAACTTAAAGTCTGACATTGACAGATTAGAGATTTTTCTTTTGAGATTTATCTTCAGAATCTTCAGAATTTATGGAAGAACTTATGATAATATTGTCCCTTTTAAAAAATATTCTTATTTAGAATATCCCATGGTTGTCAAGATTTGAAAGGAATTTCTCATCATAATTCTGACCCACTTCTGTAAAATATTGCTATGCAGAAATTCATAGGACTTCTGAATAAAAAGCTGAAGAGCACAATGACATACGATCCATACATGTTTTGTTCTCTTTACCTTTTTTTTAACCATGAGCACTGCCTGATGTTGTTTGCCTGGTCTGCTTTTCTCTTTTCACAGTAAACAGTTAACTTATATATTTAGAGTATCAGTTATCTAAACAATGACAGTTGTAACTATTTCCAGAAGGTCTTTATATCCTGCTGTGCAAGATACTCTTTAGCATATTTTTCAGTTTGCTTTTGCTTTTATATCAGAACAGTATACATTTTATATTATTTGCACAATGAAATAATACTTACATGTCTTAGAATAACAGTGCTTCTCTCATTCTTGTCTAACTCTGATTCCTCTTCCTCTGAGATGACTATTTTCACCTCTTTTGGTTGTTTCTACTGCTGTTTATTTTTATCTTTCCAAATGACATTTTTATATTATTGTTCTGCTACTTTTCTTATTTGGGCATCATCTGTTGACTTCTTACAGATGATGAGGAATTAGTGTTTTTACACAAACCAACACACACACTTCCTTCTTTCTGTCCTCCCAATATAATTATATCTAAATCTACATTGTTAAATCTGAGGCACATAGTATATCATGATTTACATTTTGTTTTTTTCCTGGTGTGCCTTAGTTTTCCTTTTTGTTTTTCCTCTCTTGGGTATCTATTCCCAAATTTCTGTCTATACCTGTGAAATTCCTCCCAACATCATTACTACTATAAAATACATCACTCCTTATCGATGGCCTTCAGATAATCTATACATCTGCTTTATTTCTTGGAAACATTAATTTCTTTTCTCCACTGTAATCTGTACATAGTCTCTAAGTTTCCTGTCATCCTTGTGGTTCCCTTCACCATTCACCTATGGTAGAGCTCCTTTTTTCTGGATTCCATGTCTTCTTTCCAGGTTTACCTCTTCATTTTAGTAGAGTACACCCTGGGGGCCTCCTGAGAGAGTCTTTGAGCGAGGTACTTTTCTTTCAGGGATTTTGCGTTCGACTCTCATATTTGATTAGTAGTTTAGATACAGAATTCTAGATTGCTAATGATTTTTTTCAACTCAGAGTTTTGAAGGCATTATTCAAATTGTCTTTTAGTTTCCTGTGTTGCTGTTAAAAACTCCAATCTCTTCTGATTTTTTGATCCTACAAGTGATAATTTTTGGCCTTTCTAAAAGTTTTCAAGATGTTTTCTTTCCTCTAGTGTTCTAAACTTTTTTCAAAAAGCATTCATATTATCAGCCAAACACCAAATGATGGATTTAATAACTTTTTGCAAGAGCAAGGACAAGAAAGAATGATTAGAAATATTACCTAGCAGTGCTGTTGATACTCGGGTATTTGTACGACTCAAAGGCTTTACTGTTTATTTCTTACACTGGCTCAATATTTTATTAAATTAAATAGGAGATTCAAGCTGTGGTTCAACACAAGAGAAACTTCCTTGGTTTATTTTAGCAGATCTCTCAAGATTCCAAAACTAAAACTGGTGCCAGATTTTACTCACTAGATAGATTAAGTAATTTGGGACTTTGTTAATGAAGGTGAAAGGGGTATTTGCTATCTTCATTCTCTTATATTATAGTATCCAAGTTTGATATAGTTACCTTAGAGCAAATGATTCCATACTTAGCTTTACATTGAAATGTCATGCAACTTATCACATAAATATTACTTATCAGTTGTTTCCTTTTATTTGTAGTTTCACCTGCCTTTTGTTTTGTATCCTTATTATCTAAAAAGATTTTGAACCAGGCTTTGCTATTAAGTCCAGAAATCTTTTTTTAAATAAATGGCCATGAACAGTGAGCTCATGTGATAGGCTGTAGTTTCACTGCTGGTTTCAAATAAAGTTATGAAATAAGTTTTGTAATGAAATACTATGAAAACCTGATTCCTACAGTGTGACAAATTACTAATCATTTTCTCCCTAAACTTTTTTTATTGATACAGCCACAAAGCTTTTTTTACCCCACACAGATGTACAAGTAAAATTGTTTGATTGAAATAGATTCCTGGGAAGTTATTTGGAATTAACTGTTTCAGCCTCAATTAGATAATAGAAGCCTGTCAGTAGACTTCCAAAAAACAGTTTAAGAATGGGATATGATAGACTGCACAAAGACATAATACTGAGTTTTCCCCAAGTTGCTAATGAGAAACATTATCAACTTTGTGTGTAGATAATTTACTTCATAATCCTTCATACTCCATAATCCTTCTTTTATGTTTAGTTTTCTTTGATTCTGAAGAAACCACCTTGGTCTTTGTTTTGACTGGCATCACTCCTTGTCTCTGCGTGGCATCCCTTTAAAAACTTCCACCGTACTCTGCTGTTCATGGCAAGTCAACAGAGGGAACAAAGATTTCAACAAAGAACTTTTTTTTTTTTTTTTGATACAACTAAATTGCCCTGCATAAAACAGAACCTTACTTATGGGAATAGATCACGGTATTTTATAACATCTCTGAGAAGAATGAAAATTTGTCTCTTAAGATGAACAAAACGTACATCATCAAACTGTGAATATTTTTTTCCAAATCTCATTTTTTAAAATATAGAAAAATGAGAGAGCAAACGGTTTATCAACTGTTTATTAGAAATAATGTTAAATAATAGATTCTGTACTTCCAAAATGGGGGAAAAAATCTGACTTATCTTTGACAGATTGCAAGTTCTAGAGTTTTGAAGGAAAAGTTGTCAAAAAGGACTTACCAAAGTGGACTGCAGTATAATTGAGTTTCTTAGATAAAAGAAAAAATTCTTTATATCTTTTCCTGATAAGAGTATTCTGAAAATTGGAGAATGTTTTAGCAAATCTTGTTCTTTTGTTTTATATATTTTTAAAAGGAAACACTTTATTCTTAATCCTTTAGTTTCATAAGTTAAAGAAGGAAGTGCTTATAATAATCTGATGAATCCAGTTCTCCATCCTACTTGAACTCTTCTTCATTGAGTCTTCTTAAGATCTCTCCTGTCTTACATGAACTCAAAGTTCCATAGGATTTTGTTTGACTTTCTAATAGGTCAACTTTCATCTCTTCAGAAGCTGTGTTTTAAACTTGTATAGAACATGAGGGCTGGGAATTGCCTGATTGGCTAATAAAATTGCTCCTTCTTAGCTCCTTGTTAGTCATTTATATCCGGTTGTCATTTTTGGTTTTCTCATATGGGATGATGAGAAAACTACACGTTCTTGAAATGTTAGGAAGTATCACTTGCTTTTTAATGTCTTTTAAGAAATTGTTTGCCAACAATTGTCTATGAAGAATATAATCTGAAAGATCATGCCATTTACTGAACTTTTTTCATCTGGGCTTAACTGCAGGAAAAGAGAATGTTTTGATATTCAATCTAATTACTATTTCATCGAAGCTGGCTTTACGCTTAGAGAATAGTTCAAAAACAACTTTGTGCTTTTAAAAATCAAGCCCCTGCTGCCTCTGCTGTCTAACACAGTTTTATTCTCTCTATTACAGAGAGCAAATTCCTCACATTTATCTTGCTTCACTAACTTGACGCTTTGCGCTTAACAATATACTTCTTCAGCCTTCTTTACTTTCCTTGCTTTATTATTTCCTCTGTGACGATACCTTGTTGACAAGGATTTGCCCTTGATGGGAAGAACATTTAATAAGCAAATATCCCTTTCTTAACAAATAGGCTCTCCCTGGGTCAACTAATTAATCTACTTCACCTAGTCTTCCATCGTTTTCTAGGACAGTCTCCGTAAGAAGGATGACAGGATTGAAGAGCTGGAAGAAGCACTAAGAGAAAGTGTACAGATAACTGCAGAGCGGGAAATGGTGCTAGCACAAGAGGAATCAGCCAGGACCAATGCTGAAAAACAGGTCTGCTATTTTATACAGTTCCTAGCAATGCTGCTGGTTAAGCAAAAGGTAAAACACAACCAGTATAGTTTAGGTAAACTATACATATTTTATGTTTATAGGGTTTCAAAACCACTTAATAGAGTATAAGTCCCAAGGAGTTCCTTCATAGCTGTGTTAGATACAAGGATGCGGTTTCTTTCGTGTGAAGTATAGAAAGAAAGACCAACTGTATTAGCAATGCTGAGAGAGAATTTATTTCACAGAATGAGTGCCTTTCAGTGCCCTGTTCCTAGGTAAATGCCTTGCCTACTCTTTCTTAAATAAGAATTGAAATAAAATTGTATGAGAATTGACTCATGTAACACAGAGGTCTCTGCATTAATAACTTAGGTCTGATCCCATATATATTTATGTAGTATGTGCTAATGTATTGGATGAGATGAAATGGAGTTTGTCTGTCTGCTACAAGACTGGGCACAACCCTGGCTTTTCAACTGAATGAAAAAACACAAACATTTCTGACTGAAAAATGTTTATTTCAAATAGCTAATAGTTTATTCATTTCATACCCTGCCTCATTCAAGAGAACACTTAAGGTTGTAACAAGTTAAGGTTAATAGTGAGTATGAAGGACACAGAAGCCATGCACTTGAGTCCCAGATAAGCATGTCTCAGCCTTGGAGGGACTTGCTGAAGAGTTCTGCTGTGGCAGTTTGTGGTGCTTGTTTGATATATTTCCTGTATCTTTTAATATCCCCATACTCTTACTTTTGACTTTTCATTAGGAAGAATAATTATAGATGGGAAGTGTGAATGGAAGAAATAGTTTTAACAAGTGAAGGTTATAATCCCAGTTCCCATTATGAGAATGTGATTTAAGATTTCAAATGTATCTGACACAGAGGTTCATAACACTTAATTTTGCAGTAATTGTTTCCTTTCCATTTCTTTGTGGGAGAAATATAAATGTTAAACAGGAAAAAAATGCTCAATGAAAAGGTAACAGGAATCTTTTGAGGAACCCCCTTGGTCAGACTACTGGTGTTATTGTGAGTTAAGGTAGCTATAGTAAAGAAGGGTATGTTTCTGAGGCAGACATAGCATATGCCCCAGGGAGTCCCTTCATAGCTGTGTGAGAAACACGGATATGGTTTCTTTTGTGTCGAGTATAGAAAGACGAGCTTTATTAGCAAAACTGAGAGAGAATTTAGCTTTTTGCAGAATGAGTGCCTTTCAGTGCCCTGTTCCTAGATAAATGCCTTGTCTACTCTTTCTTCAAATATGTTCGTAATGCACAGTCACATAGAGTTTGGGTAGTGGAGAGCTTCAGAGGAGGGATGGCGACAACCATTGTGTCACCCAAGGGTGGGGAAGAATTTTATTTAATCTTGATTTTACTCTTTTTACATTTTCTCCTTTATTTTTCAAATAAAGATTTTCTTTTGCTTTGGCCTCATTATTTATTGACAAGTATTAAAAATCAGAGATCATGCAGAGAGTTTGGCAGTTTAATAATAGATTATGCCATTATGGGATATAGACTTCTGTTACGTATTTTCCTTTTTGAGGCTATTGTGTGAACTGATTATAATATGCTCTGGGGGTATGTTTTATTTATGGTTAATAGACTTTGCAATTTTTAGGTTTATAGAAAAATTCAGCAGAAAGTACAGAGCTTCCCTTTTACTCCTTTTCTACCTCAGTTTTCCCTATTTTTAACATACTGCATTAGTGTAGTATTTGTTAAAGTTAATGAATCAGTTTTAATGCATTATTAACTGTGTGGTCCATAGTTTACATTAGGGTTCAATTTTTCTGATGAGTTTTGCCAAACATATAATGACATGTATGCCATTACAGTGTTATACAGAGTAGTTTCACTGCCCTAAAAAGTCTTATGCCCCACTGATTTATTCCTCTCCCATCTTCCCAATCCCTGATCTTTTTACTGCCTCTGTAGTTTTGCCTTTTCCTTTATTGATAGTTGGAGGCATATAGTATATAGCATGTTCAGATTGGCTTCTTTCACTTTGCATCTGCATTTAAGGTTCTTCTTTTTGTGGCTTGATAGCTAATTTCTCTTTATCTCTGAATGGTATTCTGTTGTATGGATGTGCCAGTTTATTCATTCCTTCAGCTGTTGAAGGACGTCTTGGTACCATTCAGTTTTTGGCACTTAGGAATAAGGCTGCTGTAAACATTCACATGCAGACTTTTGTGTGGATGTAAATTTCCAGCTTATTTGGATAAATAACTGTTAGTGTGATTGCTAGATTCTGTGGTAAGATCATATGGTAAGAGTTTTGGAAGAAACTGCCAAGCTATCTTCCAGAGTGGCTGTGTATATTTTGCTTTTAATTGCATGCTTTTGCCTTTTCGGTTTTCTCATTTTCCACCATTCTGCTACTCGCGGCCTATCTGAAGCTGTTGCATGAAATATTGCATGAGACCAGTTATTTGAACTTTAAGTGGTTCGAGGTATGAAGAAATTGCTTTTATGTTTATACTTATGAAGGCTTACAACATTTATCTACTGTCTTCTCCTCTCCCATTTTTTATTCTTATTTTTAATCTTTTTGTGTCTTTTTTATTTGTTTTGTTTTAGAAGAAGTCTCGCTCTCTCGCCCAGGCTGGAGTACAATGGCACGATCTCTGCTCACTGCAACCTCTGTCTCCCAGGTTCAAACCATTCTCCTGCCTCAACCTCCCAAGTAGCTGTGACTACAGGCATGTGCCACCACACCCAGCTGTTTTTAGTAGAGACAGGATTTCGGTATGTTAGCCAGGCAGGTCTCGAACTCCTGACCTCAATTGATCTGCTCACCTCAGCCTCCCAAAGGGCTGGGATTACAGGCATGAGCCACCATGCCCGGCCCATCTTTTCCTGTCTTTTAAGTCCACTATTTTATTTTATTTTAATTTTTTTTTGGAGACAGTCTTGCTTTGTCTCCAGGCTGGAGTGCAGTGATGCGATCTTGACTCACTGCAACCTCCGCCTCCCAGGTTTAAGTGATTCTTCTGCCTCAGCCTCCTGAATAGCTGGGATTACAGGCATCTGCCACCACGGCCAACTAATTTTTGTTTTTTAGTAGAGACAGGATTTCACTATGTTGGCCAGGATGGTCTCCTGACTTCATGATCCACGCGCCCCAGCTTCCCAAAGTGCTGGGATTATAGGTGTAAGCCACCACACCCAGCCTATCTCCACTATTAATTTTACTTATGTATGTTAATTATATGTACTGAGATATTCTACAAATGTTCTTTTGAAATGCCTTAAATGAAGCTCTTTTGTTTAGGAACATTATTCTTATCTTTCTCAGATCAAAAAGTTATCTGTTTCTCACTTAAATTTAGCTTCTGGGAAAGAATGACTCCCTCTGATAAAGGTAGGATAGCTACATCTCTGAATTCATCCAAGAGCAAAGTAAAATTATATGGGAGCCATAGTTCTTATTAAAATAAGATATAGAACTAACTGGGCGTGGTGGCTCACGCGCGTAATCCCAGCACTTTGGAGGGCCGAGGCCAGCAGATCACAAGGTCAGGAGTTCGAGACCAGCCTGCCCAATGTGGTGAAACTCCATTTCTTCTAAAAAAATGCAAAAATTAGCCAGGCGTGGTGGCACACGCCTGTAGTCCCAGCTATTCGGAGGCTGAGGCAGGAGAATCGCTTGAACCTGGGAGGCGGAGGTTGCAGTGAGCCAAGATCGTGCCACTGCATTCCAGCCTGATGACAGAGTGAGATTCTGTCTCAAAAATAAAGATGTAGAACCTTCCAAAGTTTGAGGAAGGAAGAATTCCCACAAGAAAACATCTCCTGATGCCCTTTCTTTTCTTTTTTCTTTTTTTTTTTTTTTTTTTTTTTTTTTTT